CACACACACACACACACACACACACACGCGCGCGCACACACAACACACACACACACACACACACAAACACACATGCACATACACACACACACTCGCACACACATACACAACACACACACACACACGCACACACACACACACACACATTGATGCTGAAGCACGCCCTTTCTACCGGACTCCACGATATAGTTGAGATTGAAAAAACTCCCAGATAGAGAAGCCCCAGAGAGGCTACACCCAGTGTCAATCACTTATGAAGCCATGGGATATGGATATGCAAGTACAGGCCAAAACCGGACTGACCAGAAACACCGTGGGGACTCCTTGAAGTCATTATGAAGTTAGTCTTCAACATGCATCTGATCAAAATCATTATCAACCCCTCCAAGTATTTCTCTGTTCTGGATCAAGTGCGCTGGTTGAATGCTGTTCATAGGTAGTTTTGTACATTTTGCGCCTGCAGATCTTGTGTGTCTTCCACATATAGTGCTATGCTGCTCGGTGTTCGTGCCATGGACCTTTTCCGACGAACACCTCTACCCTATACCCTGGCCACCACCTAACGAGGCGCACCGCAATATGCATCACGTTCATCTCTCTTTAAAAAATGAAATAAATAAATGTTCCTACATTATAAATCAGGACATTTTTTGCAAGAAGTGACGCTCAGCTCCAACTCACTTAGTGTATATTCCATCCATGATTCAGGTGCTATTCAACCCCAACGTCGTTTGTAAGTGGGACTTCTCTTTAGGTGTTGATATCTTTCTCAGATGTATGTCATGTACCTTAGCAGATTACACATTTGTTCATTTCACGCCGTCGAAGTAACTATAATTTGTGGGAATGAAAGTTTCAAAACACGGTCTACATTAACTTGCTGTTTGCAGCAAATCATCATGCCTTCCCTCTTTTTAATCATCATGTTTTCCTTTTTGTTTCTTTATCTTATTAACAATTTGCAGCATTTCTTGATTTATGTGTGTCTTCATTAGCTGTGGGCCCATGCTAATCTTCATTAGCTGTATTGTTTTAATTTTCACGCATGCCTTCCTTTCCTGCTATCTACATATGACCATTGGCCTAGACTATCCCTTCCCCCACGCAGCCCATTCGTGTATTTTAGCTCTGGTGACACCTAACTTCAACCCCACATATACCCCTTGGTCACGCGTGCAGAGCCGCGCAGGTCCTACTTGTGGGCCCGTGTAGTTTGTTTTTGAAAGTCTGCATTTGATTGGATTTGTTGAACGCTTCATTTTAACTCCGAGACTGAGTGATTTTGTGTTAGGGTTTTATACTGTTTGTGTTTGTTTGTTTTTTCGCCTGTGTTTTTTTTTTGTATGTTTGCACTATGCGCCGATATAGTTTGTTTTTGACATTTTTGCTGAATTTTGCACCGGAACTGTTGGCGAAACAGCAAATTTTCGACCCTCCGTTAACCACGTCTTTATTCCAAAATTGTAGAAGTGGTTGCAGCTGATGTGACTTGTGTGCATGCCTGGATTAACCTCTCAGAGGACAAATTGTTTTGGGTGTTTACTGGTTTGTGGGCAGTTAGCATCCAGGATAGATAACGGGTAGAATTTCCTTGATCATAGTTGTTGGAGCTGATTTTGCATGTGTGCTCTGCCTTAGTTCAACTCATGCCCTTTGCACTCATGACGGTCAGTGATAACAAATTGTTTTGGCCACTCTGGTGATATGTGGGCAGGTCTCGCACAGCCACCCCACAAATGTACGTCCTCAACATTTTTAAGCAGGTGCTGCGGTTGTCTCCAAATTCAATCATGTTCTTTCGGGAGTATCATGCATGGGAGGTGATGTGCTCAGAGTGTTTTTTCTACTTCGGCTGCCCTTTTGTGTGTCCCAGCAGCGGGAGGGATTACAGTTCCAGTGGGGATTTGAGAATGAGGGAGGATGATTTGAGAGCTAGGTCCAGTAGCGGGGAGGTTAGGAGTGTGGATTTCAGAAGTGGTGAGCTTAGGAGCGGAGAGTTGAGGAGTGGGGAGCTGAGGATGGGTGGTGATTTTAGGAGTGGGGAGCTACGTAGTGGGGAACTGAGGAGTGGGGAGGTTAGAGTCAGAGGAGATAGTGGGTATCCAGGTTTGTGGACTGAAATCATGCTTGGACAATCGGATGGGGACTGGGAGCGAGACTCTGGAGAGGTTCGAGAACTTCCAGATTCACTTGAGGCAGAGTCGTTGCGAGTGGAGGTGATCTCTTTGCTTGAAGCTGCAGCCACACTTGAGGGGATCACTTTCAACCAGGTAATATAGTACAGTTCTTTGTCTTGTCAGAGACTTGTTCTTCCCCGTTTTGCAAATGGATGTTACAGATATGGTCTACTGTTACTTCTCTTAGTTTTATGCTAAAGCATATTAAAGTTGTAAGGATCAAACAATGTGCAATGAACCCAGATCGTGAAGACAGTCGTCAACAATGCAAGCCCAGATGTCTGTCGGCTGATGATTACCAATAGTCAAAATCGTAACCAGACAGAATGAGATGAGGTAATCATACACAGACGAACAGAGAGGAGGGAGATGAGACAAAGGAGAGGAAAGTACAATGCCTACTTCTGCTTCGGGCTCCCTCCTCGACTACCACCTCAATAATCAATAGTCTGAACGAGTATCCGAAGTAGCCTCAATGTGCCACGTGGCACGTCTAATCAGTCCCTCATCAGCGCTGGAGCAATGTCGACATGGAGACGGCCAGGTACGTATCCACAAACTCTCCACAGTCCCAATCTCCTCCTGAACGACGATAATCAGAACAGCAATACAAGTCACGTAGCCTCGCTTCGTCAGCAAACAGAAGAACACGAGGCAGCAACCACGTCTGCCAATGATACACGCGTCAGCAGCCACCTCAGCCATAGCGCATGGCAGCTGCCACACCAGCATGCCAAGAAGACAATGCAACCCAGCCACCATGCCGGACCAGCAGGGCCTCGCCGAATCACAATGCCAGCGTTGCAGCATCGAGCCAGCATCGCAGTGTCGAGTCAGCGTTGAAGTCAACGCGCTCGACGCAAGACAGAATGAATGAATGTCAAAGCCAGGGAGGTCAATGCGTTAAATAGCATTGATTCGGGGTCTAGACCCCGGATGCTGCAACCTTGAGCCGTCCAGATCTTGATACAAACGAAGGCCCAGATTGGCCTGAACTGAATTCCCTTCGGCCTGGATGCTTGTCTGGGTACCTGCGCACAAGAAGTGAGTGTATCCAACCAAGGGCCTGGGCGCGGTACCTTTGACTCTACAGTTGACTTTGACCCTTGACTTTCCTGGGTGCAGCGTTTGGTCACACAGCCAAACGAGACAGATTCAGGCCTGGGCGTGTCCTGGTCACACAGCCCAGCGCAGACCAACTATGGACTGCGTTGCCTGGGGCTGAGCTCTGAGCCCCAGACTACTTCTGAACAGGGTTACTGCATTCCTGCCGACCCATTTTCGCATTCCACCGCAGAAATTTTTAAGACTTTAACCCTCGTTCATAATAGCAACAATATCAGGAGCAGTTTCAAGTAGTTCTCTTTTACTAAACCATCTGGCCTCAGATGGTGCCTGAGACTTAAAACGTAACTTGAACTGCTTTTGAGGTCGTCCGCGTGCTCCCGTAGAGAAGTATCCATGCTCTATGATTCTGTCTACTTCATATCTGCCTTCCATAGATGGTGGAATCATAGAGGGTCTGTTAGGAAATTCATTCCCTTTTACATAGGGTAACAGTTTGGACGCGTGAAAGACATGTTTTGAGATGTGGGGGGATATCAATGCGATAGGACGGTCCCTCTGCATCTCCAATTACTTTGAGAACTTCCCAGGGTCCAAAATAGTGAGGAAGCAATTTTTTGCACACATTTTTCTCTAGTGAAAACTCTTTGGATTTTACCCAAACCAGATCACCCTCTTTAAATGTCGACGGTCGACGGTGCTTGTTGGCTTGTTCAATCATTCGTAGTTGAGCTTTCCTTAGATTATCTTTAGCTTTTCGAATGTCCTCCTGGAACAATATTGCATATTCTCGGGTCCGTGGGGGCAACCTAAGGAACTGGTCCCGGTTTAGTACATCAATGGGACGTTTAGGTTTCCACCCTTTGTGAAGTGCATTCGGGGTTCGTCTAGTGGAAGTATGGACGCTATTGCTATATGCACTCGCAATTTTGGGCAAGTTCTCGTCCCAATCAATTTGATCGGGTCTAACATACATACGCAAAAGCTGCTGCTGGCACAGACGGTTCCTCTGTTCAGTCTGGCCATTCGTTACGGGATGGTTCTCTGACGACATGGTCAGCCGCGTGCCATATGCTTCCATCAGCTTTTGCCATGGCAGACTAGTGAACCTGACATCTCGATCAGACACAATGGATTTAGGGAACCCATACTCAGTGACCCATCGCATCTGAAATTTCTGAATGACAAGTTCAGTATGCGCTTCTGCCGGTAAGGGAATAAACATAGCGTATTTAGAGAAACGGTCCACAATTACCATCACTTGACTATTACCATTGCAAATTTTAACCAGACTCATAAAGTCAATTGAGATAGAGTCACCTGGTTTAGTTGGTATAAGTAATGGGACTATTACCCTTGCGACTTTTAACCAGACTCATGAAGTCAATTGAGATAGAGTCACCTGAATCACTTGGTATAGGTAATGGCTTGAGAAGTCCAAGGGGATTCTCATGCGACGACTTGTTTCTCTGACACACTAAACAGGTACGAACATATGTTAGTACATCTTCTTTAACTCCCTTCCATTCGAAACGTTTTCTGACTTCAGCATATGTTTTCTTGAAACCAAAATTACCTTCAAAATCGTGACATTCCCCAATCAATAGGCTCTTAATCTCTTCCTTATGAGGTATATACATATCACGGTTTGGTCAATCAAGAACAACAACCCATCAGTCAGTCTATAGTTGGGTAGTTGGGACGAATCTCGTACAAGGATATCCATGATTGGTTTCCAGATAGGATCAGTAGCATATCCTTGGCGAATCTGGTCTTTCAGATCAGTCCCAACATCCAAGTAAGAGACAATTGCACCAAAGAAATCGCTGCGTCGGGATAAAGCATCTGCAACCACATTTGACTTACCTTTGATAGTTTTGAGCTCAAAGTCAAACGTGTCAATGAAGGCAGACCATTTTACCAACTTGTCAGAGAGTCTAGACTGTGTTTTTTTCCACTGTAATGTTGAGTGGTCTGAATACACAGTAAAGTGCCTCCCTAACAGATAGTGTTTCCACGTATCCAACGCACAGACTAGGGCATAAAGTTTCCGTTCATTGGTGGAGTTGGCAACCTTCTTTGACGGCAATCGTGTAGATATAAACTCTATGGGCCTATAACCCTTGCCATCATCCTGTTGGAGAACAGTGCCAATCCCATACTGACTTGCGTCAGTGGCAACAATGAAAGGCAAGGACGGGTCAACAATCTTAAGGACAGGGTAGTGAGTTAGTGCATACTTCAATTTCCGAAAGGAAGACTCACAATCCTTATCCCACAACCAGATAATTTCTTTCTTTAACAATCTTCGCATTGGTGCAGCAATCAGTGAGAAGTTCCTTACAAACTTCCTGTAGTAATTGGCTAAACCAAGGAAAGATCGCAAGTCAATTATATACTTAGGCTGTGGCCAATCTATAATTGCTGAAATTTTTTTCTCTTCCGGCCTTAGACCTTCGTCGTTCAGTATATGTCCCAAGTATAACACTTCGGACTTACCAAACCCAGACTTCTTGGAATCGATCTTGAAGTTTCCCTCTCGCAACTTCCCTAACATTAGACGAAGGTGCTTCTCATGATCTTCTAGTGTCTTACTATACACTAGAATATCATCGAGATAGACAATTACAAACTTATCTAACCATTAACGAAAGAGTTCATTTATAGACCTTTGGAAGGTTGTTGGGGCATTAGTTAGGCCGAAGGGCATTACCACAAACTCGTAATGGCCATACCTTGTTCAGAATGCGGTCTTATGTTGACCCGTGGGTTCCACCTCAATCTGATGGTACCCTGACTTCAGATCAATCTTACTAAAAAACTTACAGCCCTGCAACTGGTCTAGTAAGTCGTCAATTCGAGGTAGAGATTCGACATTCTTAACAGTGACGACATTCAATCCTCTGAGTATGCTGACCAATTCAAAGTAAAAAAAGGTATCAAGCCACCCTTAAAACTTGGATATAATTGGTCCATAAGATCTCTATTTAATATAAATTCATGAGGTAATGGAATTTCTTTAGGATCAACTCCAGCATCTAGTCAATACAGAGACACAACTCACCTTCCCTTTTGGGCACAAACAAGACAGGGGCACCATAAGGAGAGGAGCTAGGGCGAATCCATCCTTTTTCTGTTAAGTCTTGCAGTTGCTTTCGCAATTGCTCAAGTTCCCTAGGAGACATTCGATAGATAGGGCCCTTGGTGATCTTACTGCCAGGTAAAATTTCCTTTGTGTGCTTGATAACACATTCAGTTATTCCCGTTAGTTCGGTGAATAAATCTTTATACTCGCTTAGGAGTTTTCTAGTCGAAGGAGGATAGGAAGTACAAGATTCACCTGCTTTCTTTACTAGAACCGTCATTACTTCCTGTTTCAACTTTTTCTTTGAAACCATCAATCGGAATGCTGGATAACTCATACCACAGAAAGACAGACTTAGAGTCGGCGCCAGACTTATGATATAGTTTGATAGGTTTCAATTCAGAGTGTGCATCTCGCAATTGGACAGTCTTCTCTTTGAAATTGATATCTAGGTTGGCTTCCTCGTGCTAGTCCATTCCCGGAATCAAATCAAAATGTAACTTTTTTTCTACAAGAAAGGAAACCACGTGAACAATTTTTTTTCCTTCCTTGGTATGGAATCGACACTTCACACGATCAACATATTGCGAGACAACGATCGTGTGCTTTTGTCAGCTAGGATAGACGTGATTGGTTGAGACAGATTCTTCACCTTCATTTCGAGATGCAACTTGCGGATTGCTTTCTCGAATATGTAGTAGGATCACGTTGATCCTGAGTCCAATAGTGCACCTGCTCGGGTATGTGTAATCTCTACGTCCGCGAGTAGAAGGTCACCCTTAGACTTTGATTTCTTAGCCCACGAGCTTCGTAATGCCAGCAACTCGTTACCAAGCTTCGTAATGCCCACAATCTCTACAGTGTATAAGACAGGTTCAGGGTGTTCTGGACGATGGGCTGAAGAAGAACCGTCCTCTGCCATGCGAGTCAAAGGGTTGGAAGG